CGCGGTCAAAAAAAAAAAAAAAAAACCAAACCCTAAATAGGAAAAAGGTTATACATGCTCTATCCAAGTAACACCATAGTTATATAATGCGTCGTGTGCTTTCCCGCTTGAGCTCCAACCATAAAAACAGAGTCTCGAACAAATCAAAGCATTCAAAGATCTACGGAATCATGAATTTCTAGGCCAATTTGTTTGGTTGCTAAGGCCAAGTAACATAATTTGACTCAAAAGATTAATTCTATGCGAGTCGTAAGTCTAAACATGTTTAACCATACATCTATCTAATTGTTCTTTGAATGGACAAAATCTGTCTTATGTCTTTGCTAGATCAAACTCATTTCTAAACCAAACACTCTTTGATGATCTTGCTATTGTCGAACAAGATTAAAAAAAAGAAAAAAAAAGGAACACTAAGGGCTAGTTTGGTATTATCGGAGCTTATAATATGTTGTTTATATAAATCGCTTAAAGAAAGCGCTTGTATAAGATGCTGAAATAGCAATTTGGTAGTCATATATTAAAAGGTGCTTTTGAAGTGGTTAATGTGTTTGGTAAAATTGTGTTTAAACAATTCTTAAACATAAAGCGTATATATGGTACATAAATTAGAAAAACCGGAGAATTGATTTTAATATGCATGCGAAAAAGGTTTTATCAAGTACCGGTACAGCTCTATACATATAAGCTATCACCAGTATGCCTTACTAAAGGAGATTATGATCTAAAGTGCAACCTTGACATAGATTATGAAGGAAATAGATTATAAAGGAAAGAAAACTTACAGATCCTGCTCGAATGGATCAGAAAACTCATCTGCATATCTGAGAACTCGCCACGAGTCATCAGATATATATATATATGTATACGTAATAATTTAAACGTGAAAGCTTTTAAGAGTTCTTTTTAGATAATTAAGGTTCCTTAATAAGTCCCTAATTAACACGTACCCTCCAGTTTAGCTTTCTGCCGTAGAAAATATGCTATTTTTAAGCCCTTGTTTTTCTTATTAAATGCCTCTTAGATCCTCTCTCACAGTTCTTATTATGTAACATATATACATACTGCTTCTATAAGATAACTTACTTGTCTGGATATATAGAATAATTACATGTGATTAAAGTATTCCTTAGGCCTAGGATAGAGTTCGCAATAACAATTGTAGGAGGCTTGAGTCATTGGAATTGTGGGATCTCTGGTGCAAAGATTTTAACTATCGCCTTTGTTCACGGATAAAAGTGACGTTTGAACTTATGATCTGAGTAAGAATTACAGTATGAACTGTCTTGCTGAGCAAGTCGAATGTTATTTTGAGAGTTTCATGGCCTAAATTATGATCGTACATAAAATATTACGTCGTCTAACATCTTTCCTCAATGACTAGTGATAACCAAATGTAAACGGAGGACTTCATGTGGGGTGCTGAGTCCAGCGGACAAAAGCCCAGCCCAAACTTTCGTTTTTTTTACAGCATCACCATCTATATATCATATCATACTCCCTTTAAAAGTATGAGTTGGGAAAATCTTTTCATGGTCAATATTACCCTTAACTTTTTTTTAAATATTATATTGTTATCCTAATCTATTCTAATTTTCCTATCTTCTTTGACTTTATAATTAAATGATTTATCCTATCCATAATGAGACTTAACATGTTATTGGATAAATATGATATGTTTGATATAATTCAAATCTTTTACTTATTTTAATTTGCAGAATAATCTAAAAAATATATGTTAGGCAGCACCTAAAAGTTTTTGGACCTTATAAAAAATACCCTCTAAGTTTTTAAATTGCAAAAAACACCCATACAAATTCAAAATTTTATTAAAACATTTTAAAAATTATAAATTTTACTTATTTTGATTCAGTGAGAAATCTGAAAAATATATGCTAGCTAAAAAATGAAAGTTTTTGACATTGGAAAAAGTATCATGTAAGTTTTAAAAAATACAAAAACACTCCTAAAATTTAAATTTTGTAAAAAATACCTTAAAAATTTCAAACCTATAAACACACTAAAAGCCTACAAATAACACAAACAACCCTTAAAAATTTATAAAATTTATAATAAACACTCTAAACTTTTTATAAATTGCAAGATAAAATCCTCAAGATTATAAAATTTATAAAAATCCTAATAATTTCTAACCTAACAATACATTGGAAATATATGAGTTACAAATATTCCCTGCATAATTTATAATTTATAGAAAACACCCTTAAAGTTTTAAAAATTACAGACAAATACTCAAAATTTAAATTTTACAAAAAACAGCCTGAGAATTTAAAACACATTAGTAATTAAAAATATAGGAATTATAAATAGTCTATAAATAATTTATAATCTATAGAAAAGGCTTATAAGTTTAAAAATTAAATTACAAAAACCCTAATATTCATAATTTAAAAAAAAACACCATGAGAATTCTATCCTATAGACACTAAAATGAATATACAAAATTACTAGCAACCCCTAAAAAAAAACACCATGAGAATTCTATCCTATAGACACTAAAATGAATATACAAAATTACTAGCAACCCCTATAAAATAAAAAATTTATAAAAAAATCCTATAGACACTAAAATGAATATACAAAATTACTAGCAACCCCTATAAAATAAAAAATTTATAAAAAAATATCATACTCCCTTTAAAAATATAGGTTTAGGAAAAACTTTTCTTGGTCAATAATACCCATGCATGACTTTTTTTTAAAAAGAACATAACTAATTA